AAAGGAAAAAGTGACTGATTTGGTATTTATAGCGGAAGACAATTAATTAAAAGAGAGGATTAATTTAATGAGAGTCGCGAGCTCGAGGCATAGAGAAGGAGATAATGACACGTGTGTGGTATAAGAGGCGCCACGTTGGTTTTATAAGGAGACTGAAGTCGTGGCTCATTCACCGTCGAGAGACTCGTGATCGGTCCGTGCAGGCTCGTCGTGGTTCTCTTAGACGCTAATTCTCTAGTTTGTACACAAAAGTGATCATTGAATTAAAATAAGATGAAATTAATTGTTGATGGTCACGTGAATACGTAGATCAGATAGTAAACGCATATTCTGAATAATGGTATATATATGTAAAATATATCCGGATCTTGGTCCGTTTGACCATATGGTTTTTTGACTCTTTTGCTTGAGCTACAAAACACGTGTGCCTTCGTAAACAAACATGTGTGTAAGCTTACACATCTACGATCCATCCGATATATTAACGCTTAAGATGGTTAATTATGATGTATTGGTAACGATATACAATAAGAGTGATCAAATTCATCAGTTATATGTTTAAAAAAAAAAATCAGCAGTGATTATAATATCATGAGAAACTAATAAAAAGAAGCATTAGATAGCGAACAACCAAATTCTACTAACATATAAACTATCAAAGTTTGGTTCTGTACTACTTGAGAGAAATTATTTATAGACAAAAAATCCTGAAAACTTCTTGATACAAAAATTTTTTTTAAACAAATCAGTTCCAATTTTTTTATACTTCATGTAGAACTCTAGTTCCATTTGCCTTCTAATTTGTATCTGCAAAATATGTATAAAAGAAAGGGGTCATTTATAGTTGAACTTAAAATAAGGTGATAAAAAAATTTAATGCATGTAGTGCTGTGTTTGGTCCTAATTAAGCAAACAAGTCGGGATTCGCCTGCCCTATGGCTCGTTCCTTTAACTTAGTGAATTCTGTTTTCGTGTGGAGATTTAGTTTCGTGGTATTGCCAGTAAAAGCGGTTTCATAGTAATTGCATTTCCCGTCTTTTGGGTGTTTAGCTTGGTTATTTTGAATTGAGTAAGTGGCACTTTCCCTTCTATCGGTCACTTGATTTCATTTGACTCGGGTTCTGTATCCAACTTTCATATTTGTTCGCAGCAAAGTGTGTCTTCTCGTCTTTATATCTCCTAGCTCGGTCTATTATCACTTATATTGTCTAACTTCTACCTTAATGTTTTCCGTTTTCGGATGTTTAAATGTTTATCTCTTTTGGGCTTTTAGTTCCAGGGATATTTCATAGGTCGTCGACTATTGGTTTCGGTGACATTTATTTGTTCGACGACATATGTTATAGGACTTGTGTACAAGTGTATTTCACCTTCAAATATTTTCTCAGTAACACCGGGTGACATAAAAAAATATGTACATGCAACAGCTTAATTAAGTTGTATCGTCCACCATATATATTCGTTTTTTGTTTGGTATGAATGTTAAAGTCCACCATATTCGTTGCTAGTACAAATACTGACTTACCATTTATATTCGACGGAATCTTATGGAATCTTTGGAGAAATAAATTTGACAAGTTTCTTTGATCTAACTCAGTATACGAAAATATGAAGACAACCAACAACATAGGTTTTTCATTTACTACTGCTAATGACGTGTTCCCCACATGTCATTATTTGCCGTTTCGTATTGTGTTGGCACTTCCTCTCGTATTTTCTATTGGACTAATGGAGAAACACCATAGTACATAGTATTCAATTTTTCTAACAGCAACTTTTGTTTTTGTTTTTTCCCCCTAAAGTAAGTATATAATTGAAGGATTCACACCAAATCCGAAATTAATTCTCAAGGACACATTAATGCGGTATTTTTGTAATTTAAAAACATTTACGAGTGATAATATATATGATTAAAAATCACAGTTATATACTTCAAGTCTTCAACCAATGGATCAATATGAAAGGAGTTGAGAATTTCATATTTACTTCTGATCAAAAGTATATAAAATTATGGGGTATAATAAAAAAAAAAAATAATTTTTGAAACTTGATAAAATACTTAGTTTTTCTTCTTCTTTTATATAGAAAAGTGATGGAAAAACGGTAGTCTAAGCGACCAAACTTCTCAACTTTTTGTTACTGAAATAGCTGAAAAGTGATCAAACATTTACGACTGATCAAAATACCTTTTGTTAAAGTATATACTTAGAAAAAAAATGTTCTAAACCATACACATCATTTCATCAACTAAGATACCTACAATATTAGAAATCTGAAATATGTAGCCTTTATAATGGTAAAGTTTCCCAGCTTCATACCATTAATCAAAGGTCGAGCTAACTACATTAGAGTTTATTTATTAACTTTTATTTCAAAATTAATTAATATAAACATTCGACTACATAACTTTATCCGTCCTTTCATGTCACTATACGTAATGACTGCATGGCCCTCGCAAATTAAGAGAAAAAATACAAACGATAAACACTCATAAGAAAAGGAGACTCTGTATTCTCC